GTGAGAAAACTCCTGGGTTGAGATAAGAACAGTTTAATAACTGAAATAAAGTAAAATAGTAGTAGTAATAATAACAATATCATAATAATAGTAATAATAATATACAAAGCAAGTGATGCACAATGCAATTGCTCACCACCCACCGACCGATACCCAGACAGTTCCCAAGCAGCGATCGCTGCCCCCCTGCCAACTCCCCCCAGTTTATATACTGAGCATGACGTCATATGGTGTGGAATAGCCCTTTGGTCAGTTTGGATCAACTATCCTGGCTGTGCCCCGCTTCCCAGTTTCTTGTGCACCCGGCAGAGCGTGGGAAGCTGAAAAGTCCTTGACTAGCATGAGCAGTACTTAGCAACACCTAAAACATGGGTGTGTTATCAGCATTATTCTCATCCTAAATCCAAAACACAGCACTATGCCAGCTACTAGGAAGAAAATTAACTCTATCCCAGCCAAAACTAGGACAATACCCCATGCCCGCAGGTACCTGGGCTCAGAGAGGGGGGTCTTGCATGGCAGGACAGGTACTGAGGGTTACTTTGCAGGTAGTAGGCAAAGGTATACATGGTGAGAGGAATAGAAGACCTGAATCAGCTCTGCAGCTCTGCTAGGAGCTGGCTAATCGCCAGGAGCCCTTTCACATCTCAGGTGGATGCCAAGGCTGATTACCTGGGAAGGATTCAGGATGCTGTAGAGCACATGCTCCCCGCTGGGTTCCTGCTGCCCCACTTACCAAGGAAGGGTCCGTCCCTGCCCTATGGGCTGAGCAGCGCAGGGATTTTCCAGGTGGTGGGATGGTGCATCCCGACCCCCTGGCCATCCCTCCCAAGGCACAGTGCAAGCTGCAAGCCAGGGCTTTGCTCAGCATGGGCTCGAGGGAGCAGGTACAAAGACACTTTCCTGAGTTACCTCGCTCACTGTCCCTCTGGACTCTACAGGGATTTGGAGTAGAAATGCTTTGCTGTGCCCCAGTCCTGAGCCTCAGATGGAGGTGATGGTCGCTCTCCTGTGAGAGTCCTGCCGCAGGCTATGTAGGTGGGTAAGGGGCACAGGTGCCCCACTCCCACCTGCAAACCATTGCCGAGAGTGCCGTGCAGCCGGCAGGGTTGGGCAACCCACCCGCAGGCTGTGACTGTGGGGCTTGCTGGGAGGAAGCAGCTCGGCCAACGCAGCCGTCACTGCCCACCCAGGCTGATGCTCTGCCCCCTCTCCGTGTGCTCAGCCGTGCTGTGGGCAGGGTGTCATGCGCAGAGCAGGGTGCATTGCCTGCATGAGTATCCCGACAGCGCTGGGAGCACCCAGGTGTGGATGGGACCCACGGCACCGGGGGCTGTACGTGCCACATGGGGAGGTGGGCACTGGCAGAGGTGGGCAGATGCCCCAGGGCTCAGCCTCTGCAGAGCCCCAGGGCCAAGTCCAGGCTGCGCACTGCAACGTGTCTCCAGGGAGTGCCCAGGACCTGGTGGAGTGAGACCCTGGGGGCAGGGGGTGCAAGGTGCACCCCATCACCACCACGCTGCATCCCCCACCCCCACGCAGAGGCACACTTGTTTTGTTTTTTGGCAGAGGCTCCTGCCCTACGGTGGCACAGCCTGTTCCCCTCCTTGTGCAATGTCCCCCGGCAAACCACAGAGGAACCGAGTCACCCTGACACAGCCCGCCCAGCTTGGCTGCTGCCAGCGATACAGCAGGCACCTTCCTGGGGAGCCCCCCTCACCCCCGCCGCCGGGGAGGGCTCAGCAGCCCACCGGAGCAAGGAGGGACCCAGCAGCTCCCCCGAAGGAGCATGGCGTGGTGCCGGTGAGGACCCACACCCTGCTGGGGTGCAGCCCCGCTGCTGCCATCCCCCTGCTCCACCCTGGGGATGGAGGTGGCTCTCTCTGAGGCTTTAGAGGCACCTCCTGAGTGCAGGCAGAGCACGGCTCCCCCCACCGCAGGTCCCCGGGGGATGATTGACCCAAAGGGTGTCTCTGAGCTGCAGGGTGCCTTTGGGCATGTCTCCCAGCACCACGCCTGACCTGCAGCCTGAGCAGCCGGACCCTCCTCCGATGGCCCTGGAGGAAAGCAGTGCCCACTAAAGTATTTCTCCCAATTTGAAAGTGTTTGGCCACAGGAAGATGTGTTATCCAAGTGCTGCCCTGGCTTGGAGGGGGTGAGGCGGTTGCAAGGATTAGCCGGGACCAGAAGGACGGGGATGCTTCCAAGACAGGCCAGGGGCCATGGCACCCCGCACCCCTCACCCACAGGGACCTCACGGCACTGGGGCAGCCCCAGCTGCAGGATGGAGGGGTAGTTTGGGGCAAATCACTCCTGCCCACCCCACCCAGTCCCTCTCAGAAACATTTCTTTGACCTCAGCTGTAGGACAGCTTTCTGCCTCGTGCCTTTCCCCTGCCACGCTGGTGATGAAGAGCCTTTTCACTGGGTACCACTTCCAGCCGTCTCTCTTGCGCCTGGCAGCAGCAACACAAGTGGCACAGATAAAGGTTCACCAAACAGGATGCCGGGGGTGTAGATACCGCCAAAGTTATCTCACTGCTTTTGTGGTAGGGAGTAAACAAGTGGCTCTGCCCACCCGGGGAATCCCAGGCAGCGCCTCTGCCCTGCCAGCAAGCTGGGGCACAGGGTGGGTACGGGGTGCTGGGGTGCAGCTCCGGGGATGTGCCTTATCCAGGGGCAACCCTGCAGCCATGCAGGCAGCCCTTGCCCTAAGCAAAAGCAGAACCACCCAGCCTGCAGAGCCACTCCTGGGAACTGCGACTGCTCTGCCTGCACCCTGCCCAGCTCCCCATGGCACTGCGCATCCCTGGAAGGCGAGGATGGGCCACCAACCTGCCTGGCCCTTCCTAAATGGCACCCGTCTTCCCAGCACAAGAGCGATACCTAGAGCTGTCAGGCTGGCTTGGCGCAGGGGCAACCCAGGTGGTGGAGGCATTGGCAGCCAATGGAGCAGGCCACAGGCACCCCAGACATCACCAGTGCTTTTGTCACATGTCTGGTTTAATGCAGAGATTTCAATCTTCTCCTGTCTCACAAAGCAAACCCAGACACAGATTCCTCTGTCACCTCTGTCACCCCCTGCATGCTGTTGCCTGCTCCCCTCCCCTCCTGTCTGGCTCTTTGCAGCATGGGCTCTGTCCTCCCCGGCTCCCCACACAGGGCTGCCGCAGCCTGCCTGGGGCCAGCGGATGAACATACTCAGCACTGAGAGCCGTGTCTCCAGCCAGGGCCAGCCCCTGCGGAACAAACAATGTCCTCTCCTCTGGTCAGGAAATCCTGTGGCATCCCCTCCGGCAGGCACTGAGCCCATCTGGATTTTCCCCTGAGAAAGAAGCATCCTTGAGGACGTTCTTCACCTTTTGGCAGGTCAGGGCTGAGCTTTCCTCTTCTCTTTCTCACCTCCCTGCTTCAGTGCAGCCAGCAATTTGATGCTTTCTCCCCTGGGATCTCGGTTATCTTTCTGCTCCAAGGAGCTACTGTGTCCTGCAACTTGCCAGTCTATTTAAATTGCTGATTTGTTTTCTGCAGGTAGGGCAGGCACCAGCACAACATGCATTTTAAGGTCGTCTTTACGTCTCAGCCACTTTGCTTTTGTAGATCTACAAACTGCCCTGTCCATACTGCCCGTGCTGTTGCAAACCGCTGGGCTTTGCCCTGTGCGGTGTCCCCTGGGTGTGCGACCCCAGGGATGGGGTAGCCCCATCTGAAATGCCGCTGCTGTGGCCATCCCGCATGAGGTCGGCAGCGCCTGCTAAAGTTGCCTCTCTCTAACAGTCCTGACTTTTGGGGCAAGCCCCTGCAAGAAAAAAACAAAAGCTAAAATAACAAGGGGAAGGATGTTCTTAACCATTTCTTGTCACCTTTGAAATGAATTCCTCCTCCTCCGACCTCTTGCAGCTCTCCTTTAAGAGCAAGATGGTTACAAACACCAATTTAACTGTGCTGTGGCCATGGACAGAGTGGTACAGACTCTTTCACAGATCAGCAGCAAAAGCAAGAGGTTGTTTCTGCTAGGAACTGCAAAGCAACAGAGTGCTTTCCTAGCTTCTTTTTATTTTTATTTACCCTTGAAAGGAAAAGGACTGTTTTGCAGAGAGGTATTTTGGGCAGCACTGGCCCGAGAAGAGGCAAGGCAGGACCTTCTCTCTCCACCCGTCCCTGCTGCTCTGCCGGGGACTCGGCTGACCCAGCCCTGCACCGGGACCGTACCTGGCTCCTCAGGGGAGACCGGCATGCAGGGGGCAGCT